AGAAGAAGAAGAAGAAGAAGAAGAAGAACAAGAATCAAAAGCAGAAGAAGAAACAGAAGAAGAAGAAGAAGAAGAAAAAGAAGAAGAAAAAGAAAAAGAAGAAAAAGAAGATGACGACGATGATGACGACGATGATAATGATGATGATGGCAACGACGACGATGATGAGACATAATGATGATGATGATGATGATGATGATGATGAGAAGGAGGAAGATGATTATTATCCTTCTTTTTACTATTTTCGTTTATAATTTAATTGTTGTTTTGTACTTTAAATAATTTTTTCATTGATATTATTATTGTTATTATTATAATTATTATTATTATTATTGTTATTGTTGTTGTTATTATAAGCTACCTGTCATTCACATTTAATACCTATCACATTGGCGAACCTTAATTACCTTCATGTATTTTTTTCAAAGGACGATGATGATGACGATGATGATGTTGTTGTTGTTGATGATGATGATGATGTTTTTGTTGTTGCTGGTAGGTAATGGTGATGATTAAAATGTTGTTGTTGACAATGAAGATGTTGATGTTGTTGCTGTTGTTGTTGACGTTGCTGATGTTGTTGTTGATGATGAAGAAGTAGTTGTTGATGATGTTGTTGTTGTTGTAGTTGTCGTTGTTGGTAACGACTTTGTTGTTGTTGTTGTTATAGTCACTATTCAATATTTTTTTGCTTAGTCCGATAGCTACCTTCTCTTACATTTCTAAGCGTTTGACAGGCTAAACAAACGAACGAACGACTTTGCAGATATGGTTGATGTTATTGTCATTGTTGTTGTTGTTATTAATGTTATTGGCATTGTTGTTGTTGTTGTTGTTGTTATTATTGTTATTGGCATTGTTGTTATTGTTGTATGCAGATGGATCATGATGACTTTTTCGTTGCTAATTTCCGTAACTCCCATTCATTCCGATTTGGTGGGATTTTTAAAATTCTCAAGTTAAGGACCTTTTTTTGTTGAAATCTGTTCACTTTATTACTATATTCTACACGGAATCTTCAGTAACTTACTCTTTCACGGTTTGTCTGGATCTCGCACTCCCTATAGATTTGCCACTGGTTATACATATTTTTTAGTGCTGTATATTTTCAAGTCCTTCTTGTTATTTCTCAATAAAGATAGGTGTCAGAAGAAATTTTCTTCCAAATATCTTTATCCGAACATATATAATTATTATTATTATTATTATAATTATTATTATTATTATTGTTGTTGTGTCTTTGAAGAAATAAATAAATAAAATAAATTATTATTATTATTATTATTTTTGTTGTTGTTGTTGTTGTTGTTGTTGTTGTTATCAACACAGTATTTTTTGCCGTCATCATCATCTTCATCAGTTTCATCATTTTCATCATCATCGTCGTCGTCGTCAGTAGTGCTCTCCTCATTATGACGCTTGGATGCAGTCACGCCGATAATTAAACTAGTTATGCTCTTAATTATGACGTCATCATCATCGTCACAACGTCATCATCGTCATCGTCACAACATCATCATCATCATCATCATCATCATCGTTACAACATCATCATCATATGTGGGCTAATGCGTGATAGTGTGAGTGTGTGAATATATGTGTATGTATGTACATATATATATATATGTATACATAGACATTTATCATTAACGATCTGTATTTTCATCCAACTGTATTTTATTTTACTTCATTTACCTATTTATTTTAATATTTTTAAAATACAATGGAAGCTTTTCATTTGCTGGAGGCATAGGAACGTCAGTTCGCGCCTCTCTATTCTCTGTTTATGTTATGTTATGTTATCATCATCGTCACAACATCATCATCATCATCGTCACAACATCATCATCATCATCGTCACAACATCATCATCATCTTCATCATCATCGTCGTCGTCATCGTCAACGTATTTTTTTATCACCATTATAGCATGTTGGCAAGTTTACATTTCATATAGCTTGATTCAAAATTCTATCAATTGAAGTACATACATACGTATGCAACAAGGCCAAAGATAAAATAGCAAACAATAGTACTATAATGAAGACACTAACTAGTAACAACACACACATTTTACACACAAACATGTATACGCACACATAAATACATACAAACATACATACATATGCACACACACACAAACATATATACACTAACACTCACACACATACATATACATACCCGTGCATACACACAAACATACACATTACACACACATAATACATAAAACGAAGTCATCAATACATATTTTCATGCATGTTTTTGTTAAAAAAATGAAAACAATACACAAATATATACACACATATACACATACACGTACGGTACCATGCTTTCATGTGTTTGTGTATGTGTGATCGTGCGATACAATATTTGACAATAGAAGGTTTGAATTCAGGTTTGAAAATATACACACATATACACATACACGTACGGTACCATGCTTTCATGTGTTTGTGTATGTGTGATCGTGCGATACAATATTTGACAATAGAAGGTTTGAATTCAGTTTGTAAGATATTGTATCTTTGTTTGTCATTTTCTCTCTCTCTTTCCCTCTCTCTCTTTTTCTTTTCTCATTTTTCACACATACACACACACGCAAACACACACACAAACATATACATGCATACATACAGTGTTGTTTATTTGTTAATTTACCATTGTATTTGTTATTTTTATTCTTTAAATACGTTCTGCCTTCTTCAATTCAAGGCAAGTAAATTAAGAATGAAGATACATTTTTCAGACAGACTTTATTACATTTATCTAAATAATAACTTATCTATATATTGAAATACTTGGTAATCAAGGTAAGTTCTCTATCTCTGATCTTTTTTAAAAGTTTCAGTTCGTACACACACACACACTCACACACACACACACACACACACACACACACAAGCATAGATATACACACACGCGCATACAAACTCCTCAGAGATGTCTCTAGAAGGCGGAAATTTCATCATAGACCGGCGCGATTCACGCCATCAGATGCATCCAACACAGGATCCACCCATATTTTATAACTTCTACGAAGATCCTTCATTCAACCTACCGGCCAACAACAACTCCAGAAATTTTTACATCAACAGTAATGTAGCACCTCCTCCTCTCAACAACAATCGCCCGAACTATGGCTCTCTGAATGACTTTTACGATAGCGAAACGGCCAAGCTTATTGGCGATCAATTTTCAAAAGGTCCGTCTGTTAAATTTTTGTATTTTTTTTTGTAGTAAAACGTAAAAAATGTTAGCTATAAAATGTAGATACAGAACTGCAAGTAACATAAAATTATTTTATCGACAAATTGTAACAACTGCTCTTAAGCTCGACCATCATTTAATGGCATCATTTCTTCTACTCCAATTTTCCTACTTCTTCATTTTTTCTCTCTCTTTTCTCTTTTTCTCTCTCTTTCTCTCTCTCTCTCTCTTTCTTTCTCTTTTTCTCTCCCTCTTTCACCCATTCATTTTCAAATTCATCTACATTTCTTCCAATTCCAGATTTGAAAAATTATTCGAGAGTAAAGCGAGCAACAGCATGTAGGAGCGTTCTTATCTCGCTAATTTCGTCGGCGCTCTTCTCACTAGGAACCAGCAACATTCTCATAACCATATTCCACTTCGTACGTGATTTGGATTTATGCCTTGGTTCCACTAACTCCTTCTTCACAGTTATCAATGGTACCAGTGGGATTGTATGGGTTCTTGTATCGGCTGGTGTTTGGACGGCTGTCTTGGTTGGTTGGTTGGTTGGTTAAATGGTTGGTTGGTTAGATGGTTGGTTGAATGGTTGGATGGCTGAATGGTTAGAGGGTTGGTTGGTTGGTTGGTTAGATGGTTGGTTAGATGGCTGGTTGAACTGTTGGATGGTTGGTTGGCTGGATGGTTGGTTGGCTGGATGGTTGGTTGGATGGATGGTTGGTTGGTTGGCTGGTTGGATGGTTGGTTGGTTGGATGGATGGTTGGTTGGTTGATTGGTTGGATGGCTGAATGTAAATGAATGAGTAAGTTAGCAAATGAATGAATTAATAAATAAAAGAATGAATGAGCGAACGAACGTCTGATTGAATGAGTGGATGAATAAGAAAAAAAAATTATCAAACGCCTGAAATATTTTGGTGAATGAATGAATAGACGAATAAGCTTTAACCTGAACAAAAGACAAATGAACGAACAAAAAGACAAATTGATCAATAAAGTGAATGAATGGCTCTCTGCTAGAGGGTGTATATTAAAATTTTACTAAAGTAAAAAATCAAATATAAATAAAACGTACTTACAAATGAACAATTGTATTTTCTGTGAATCCACACATACACACACACACACACACACGCACAAACACACACACACAAACACACGCACACACACGCATACACACAGCATACATTATGACACAAAACAGCCATTCCTATTGGCAATAATGAACATGTTTGACCGGGATCATACAGTTGATTCCATGGCCAGAGTTAAAAGTATCCAGAAAAAATACTCTGATGTAAGCAGTTGTCATGATAATGGTGACGATGATGATGATGATGATGATGATGATGATGATGATGATGATGATGATGATGAAGATGATGATGAGGATGATGGAGATGATGGAGATGATAATGATAACATTTTTTTTTGTTAGTTTTTCAATTTTATATGGATGATAAAATTTATGAAATGAAATACCATAACAACAGAATTACGTAATTTAAACAGAATAAAATTAATCTCATTGCCATAATTGTTCTTGTGGTTTGTGTGGCGGCTTTTGTCGCTTCTTCTGTAGATGCCGCCATGGTGAGTTTTATCATTTTGTAATAATAGTATCTTGCTACAATCATATCAAAATTACAATCATTACCATACTTACTTTCATTATCATTACCACCACCACCACCATCATAATAATCACCATCATTATCACCACCACCATCATAATCATCATCATCATAATAATCATCATTATCATCATCACCACCATCATCACCACACCCAGTCTTACAGTTGTTCGCTGGACACTCCATTGAAACACCTTTCCAAGTTCATCCTCCCCATCCTCATCAGCATCTTTATCGTCTTCCTCTTCATCACCATCATCGCCGTAGTTTTCGTCAAGAAATGCTGTAATGAATTTAACAAAATGAGTGAATATGATGATGACGGTGATGGTGGTGATGGTGGTGAGAATGAAGCTTTCAATCTGGTAGCTAGGCAGAAGAAATATTCCAAGCCAGGTGAGCCCATCGTCAGTAACCTGCCAAGCACACCTGTCCAGGCCTTCAACTATCCCAACTTGCAAACTTACTGGAAGACACCTATCGTGCATTTTGCTGGCCCGATTAAACGTTACACACCTCAACCAATCAGTAACCAGTTTGCTCTGCCAATCAGCAGCCAGTTTGGTCAACCAAGATACCAGTTATTTAATCAACCAGCCAACCAACCAGCAATCAATCAATTCATCTCGCGTCCACAAAAATTTCCTGCATTTTCCCCCAAGTTATCATCCAAGGTGAGCCATTTGCAACCGTTATAATTCATAAAATTAAGATGTTTGTCTCATTGTTGGTTCATTTTAATAGCATAGCACTGGTCCGCGAGTTAGCTCAGACAGCTCAAGTGCTGCATCTCACGTTCTGATTGCGTCTTGATATAGTTCAAATTCTGCCTAACTCAAAAACAAACTCACATACTTTGTGCAGCAGACAAGGGTGATTGCACAGGCATAAGGATGTACACATGATAATTATGACATAATATTATATTAATATGATCCGAGAAGTTAAAATTTATTATTTAAAATTATTTTCAGTTAAATTTGATAGAATTTTGTTTTTCACTGAACAGCCAGCAGGTCGCTACGAGTCTCCAATGAAGTTCATAATGTCGTAGCGTTGTTTCCGCCATCAACCAGCTGAATTTTCCACGTAGTAGTATCATAACATATCGTTGCTTTTGATGTTGCTCCAAACATTTTCTTCTTAATCAACTGACACATTTTTGATGTTTTTTTTATATATTTTTATTTAATATTTGCCAGTTATATTTAAAAAAACTAGATGTCACTAAATAAACGAGGTTTTACTAAAAATTTTCAACAATATTCGGAATGATAAATAAATAACACTGTTGATGTTGCTAATAGTAAAAGTAAGGAAACATTCACACTAGCAGGTAACTTTTTTAACTTTTAACTTTTTTAACTTAACAGCTTAACTTTTTTTTGGCAAATTTTTTTTCTTATAAAAATGTTTTCTCAACAATATAGAGAAAAATAATCAATTAAAAACAATGTAATTGTTACTTTATAAAAGTGAAAGCCTTCTCTGGTGAGCACTTACATCATGCCTGTGTGATGTTTTTTGTTATTGTTTACAATTCGAATATAAACAAAAAATTTTCCGCTCTGAAAGAAATATGCAGTTGCGTTTTGCAGTTTGAAAATGTTTCATATCCATTAAAATAATTAAAAATTTGAAATTTTTTTTAAAATTTATATCTGAAATCAACTGAGCCGAAAATTTTAATTTAATAAAACTTGATAAATAGTTTGTTGTTTCATAGAAACACGTTGGACATGACAACTGCAGAGATTAACCACATAAACAACAACAAAGTAGACAACAACATAGAAAACAACATAGACAATAACAACATAGACAACAACAACATTAACAACAACAACAACAACATAGACAACAACAACATTAACAACAACAACATTAACAACAACAACATAGACAACAACATAGATAACAGCAACAACAACAACACCGACAACATCATCAACAACATCATCAACAACAGCAACAACAATGACGCCAACGAGACTAAAATAAAAATTCCACTCGCGATGAAAAAGACTCTCATTCAATGGAAGCCGGGTGTCAAGGTCACGAGCCCTGATGACGATAGAGGGAGGATGAAGTTTATATTTGAAACTGTTCAAGGTGATGATGACGACAACGATGACGATGATACAATGATGATGATGACGATGATGATGACGATGATAATTATGATGACGATGATGATGAAGACGACGACGACGATGATGATAATGATGACGATGATGATGACGATGAATAATTATGATGACGATGATGATGAAGACGACGATGATGATGATGATGTCGTTAACGTAAAAATTGCGATACAAATGCAAATTAAGAACCTTAAAAATGTTATTGCGGTAATGAAAGTTTCAAGACATTTCATCATCAATCTTATTTTCACCATTATAATTCCCATCAAAAATTTTCATCCCGATTAGTTCCGTCCTATTCTTTTTTTACCTTCACTTTCATCTTCATTTTCATCATCGTCTACATCTACATCATCAGCAATGTCCACACCACCAGCAAAATCACACCATGACCACCAAAAACACACCATCACCGCCAAAAACTCACCACCACCAAGAACACATTATCACCACCAAAATCACACCACAACCACCAAAAACACACAACCACCAAAAACACACCTCCACTACCAAAATCAAAGATCCACCAGGCAAAGAAAGCAAAGAAAAAGAGTGGGAAAGACATAGAGCACTACGGACAACCTTCCAGTTGCCAAAAACGGTCACTCCTGGCCCGGCGCATTACAATGTCATCCAGTGCCCACTTCCACGCAAGACAAACGCCTGTGATTATTGTCAGGGCTCCATGAGTTCGAAGACAGTGAGGTTGTTGTATAGACTGATCTTTAACCTTTAACCTCTATCATATTGGTCGTCATCATCTTCTATCACTGACGTAGATTCAAATCCTTATGTGACGTCATACCGACCCCCGGGCCATGTGACTATGACGTCGACTTGTCAGTTTTGAAGAATAGAAGAGATTTCAATTTGGTCAGCTCTCTTCTCAATCCCGTACTCTATGGAAAAGAGGTGTTTTGTATGTTTTGTGTGTTGTGCGTGTGCGTGCGTGTGTGTGTGTGTGTGCGTGTGTGCGTGTGTGTGTGAAAAAGATTGTTTATTCTTGTTAATTTTTCAAGTGCATTTGGGCGTGTAGAATACATGGTGAATGAGAATGAATGTATACACGATGAATGATGATGTTATTTTTACTAGCCTGTGTAGGCTGTTTGTTTGACAACAGTATTAATGATGATGGTGATAACGATGATGATGATTATGGTGATAATGACGATGATGACGATTATGATGATGACGATTATGATGATGATGATGATGACGACGATGAAACAATGATGATGATGATGATGATGATGATGATGATGATGATGATGATGATGATGATGATGATGATGAAGACGACGGCGAAGTGAACAGTTAAGTTGGACTTGTAAAAACAATTTTCACAGCCCAGTTGTGAACCAACATCACCCGCGCCAAACCAGTACAACATCCTTGAAAACAAGTAGACTATCTTTATTCAAATGTTTAATATTTTATTTTTTTATATATTAAATATAGTAAAAATATAATAAAAGAGTATTAATAATTAATTATTAATAATTAATAATTAAATTCACGATACTTCAATTTCTCAGATATTGAAATAACATTCTGCTCGTTAGGTGCTGCTACTGGAGGACGTTTCATTCGTTATTCGCACGAAATGCATGCAAAGGTAGGAAGAAACAACTCGAGATCGGGGATGCAAGTACCAACTCGGGGATGAACCATCCATCCCCAAACGAGTACAGCATTAAAGATGACGTCATCCACAAATCTGTCTGCCAGGTGGCCAACGCATCCTTCCGCTCCAAAGTTCAGACGTTGGACGGCCTGATAAAACAAACGAAGATAAAGGCTTACACGCCGGCTCCTGACTACTACCACAACGACTACAACTTCCGGAATGAGAGGAATAGAAGATATTTAAGAATCACTAAACAAAATTTCTGTCCGGATGTTGTGGCGAATTCTGCAACTTTTATGCCAAATATGGGCTTCAGTCGGATGACAGCAGAGGCAAATGGTGACGGTGGAGCCCTCTTCGTGGGCAGAACTCTGGTCAGGTACCCGAAATCTAGCAACTTCAAAGCCGCTGTGTATCAAGTGCCGGGCCCAGGTGTGTGTGTATCTGTGTATATGTGTGTGTGTGTGTGTGTGTCATACATCCACCCATCCACTCATCCATCCATCTATCCATCCATCCATCCATCTACCAACAAATCCTTTTCTCAAGGCGCCTACAACGCATTCAACAAAAACGATCACAAATGCAGCCAGTTCAACAACAAATCAACGAAAGTGACTTTCAAACCACAGCTCTGTGAGACATTCCTACGAAGGATTCGAACCCAGGCTCTCGCACCCAACCTATACAGGCCTGAAATTCCTGGCAAGAAGTCCTTCCACTATCCTACCAAAAAGGTCTTTTTGTCGATGGTTTGACGGTAGAGCCGATGGTACTGATGAAAAAAATTGAAGTGATAAATTGGTAAGACATCAAACAATGAAACTCATAGACAATATGCATATATAATCTACAACAATAGTGAAATGCATACAAACAGCATCTGTAAACATACACAACCATACAAACACACCGACAAACAAACACGCATGGACACAAACAAACAAGCAAGCATAACTAAGCAAAACAAAGCTTTGAAAGGCTTTGTCACTACAAACGCATTCCCCTGTTAAACTTTAACAAATTTTTTCTTACATTTAACTGAAATTAAAAATAATATTAATAATAATAAATATTGATAACAACAACAACACTAATAATAAAAATAACTTAAATAAACCAAATAATAATGAACGAAATAAATCATACATTTTGTATTGCTAGATTGTATTGATGTGGTGATCCATGTATACGTGATTGACTTAAGTCATGCACACAACGCACTCACACACACAATCAAACACACACGCACGCTCACACACACACACATACACATTACATATATAGATTACATTTGTTAGTTATATTTTATGTTTATTTATTCACTAAAATTATTCATTTGGTTTTTTAATCTTATTTATTTATTTTTGTTTTTTGTCGCCATTTTGTTGCATGCTTGAAACGAACTGTATCAAAGAAATTATTAACTTGAATGACAAGTTCGACCGAATTAACTTAAACGAATTCGAACGTTGAATTTGAAAATGAGTCGACAATTTTACTTCAAACTTTTCAGATTTTTTCACAACTCTGAGACACTCGTTTCGGACAGCTTTACATATTTCAATTTTAATCTTCAATATTTTTTCTTTCTAACAATTTTTTACGCAAACACAAAAAACATTAAAAAATTTTTTTCACTCTCTTCCTTCCTCTCTCTTTCTTTTTTTTCTCTTTCTCTCTTTCTCTGTCTATTTCTCCCTTTCTCTCTCTCTCTCTCCTATCTATCTATCTTGCTGTCTGTTTTCTCCTTTTTTTCTTTTTCCCCTTTCTCTTTTTCTAGCTTTCTCTCTCTCTCTCTCTCTTCTTTCTCTACCTCAAGCCCTCTCTTTCCCTCTCTCTCTATTTATATGTGTATGTGTGCATTACACATTATAAATTCGTATGTAAAATAGGCTTGTCAAAATACTGCGCCTTTCTATTTGCAACAACAACATCAACAACAACAGCAACAATAACAAACAACAACAACAGCGATGATAACAACAACAACAACGATGACAGCAACAACAATTGCATCGATAACATCAACAAAGTGACATCAATCGCGATCCAACATTAATTGCAACGACAAGTCAACTTTAATAATAGGAAGAATAAGTATATAACAGAAATAATAATATTCAATATTCAATGGTAACTAAATTCCTGACAGCAATAATAATAATTATAATTATAAAAATAAAAATTTTCTCTTTCTTTCTTTCTCTTTCTCTTTCTCTTTCACTCTCTCTCTCTCTCTCTCTCTCTCTCTCTCTCTCTCTCTCTCTCTCTCTCTCTCTCTCTCTCTCTCTCTCTCTCTCTCTCTCTCTCTCTCTTGCTC